AAGGGCTCAGATAATGACAGACATGACCAGATCATGTTAAAATAAAGTTCTTAGAAGCAATATATCAGCTTCATAGTTGCTGACCACAATGTTCATTTTTTGTTGGTGTAGTAGTTGTGTTTGGTCACAGAACTGTGTTGGGTAACACAATACATATTGTGTGTGTTCCCAGTTGTGCTGTTTATCCTTTGTGGGGGCTTATTAGTTAATTAATGGTTATTAGTTTACTCTACGGCCTAACACTGCCCTATGTTGTGATAAAATTACTGGTCATGAGACAAATCTGGTAGTTGTACTCAGCATTGCTGTCACCTCCATGCTCGAGGAACGTTCTCTCAGAAACTATTTATAATTAACAGTCTTTACTTTTCTCCTCGGGGAGCCAATCTATGGAAGGGATGAGGGGGGACGCTTCTTCTCCCCACAGCAAGTTACAATAGCTCTTCAAAACTTGGAATCCTTGTAATGTTCAAACCAGTCTGTACGGATTGCTATGTGTCCAGAATGTGTTTCAGGTTTTGTTTAAGGTCAGAGTAAACTATTTCAGAATGCCACACAATGATCTGCCCTGAGGCGGGATAATTATGAGGGGCAGGGTGTGTGGGAGGATATGGGCAGGCACCTAGAACTCTGGGCACCACCAATGCTTCCTAACTTCACCCCTGAAGAAGTGCAGAATCATAAAAATAAAAAATAAAATAAAATAAATAAATAAATAAATAAATAAATAAATGAAAAGACAGAATGCTTGAAAAAGGAGTGTCATCACCCTGGCGATTCCAAATCACTGCAATGTGCTGGGGCTTGGCCTATGCTTACTGAGTTGCAATCTACACAACTCCAATCCCTGCGACTGGGCCAGAGAAGCAACCTGTGCCTCTATCACTCGTACATACATATGAAAAGAAACAGGAGAGACAAAATCAGCTTGTTTAGCTAGGAAAGAAGCTCCTACTCATACAGGGAAGGAGGAAGAAGAAGACGAGGCATGCTTCTTCCCCGTAGAGCCATCACAGGAAAAGGTGGATGAAGACAGAGATAACATAAAAGGAGCAGTAAGCACTTGATCACCATTCCTTGGGGAGCTGTGAGATGTGTGATTAGATTTCAGCCATCATCTAAGCCAGAACATCGTCACCTGGCTGCTCCGATACTTGGATAACAGGGCCAGTAGCCTGGAATTAGAGGGCAGGGAAGCCAAGCAGCTGGGATCCCTCTCCAGGGAAGGGGGCATTGACAAAGCAATTGCAAAGGGGGCACAAATCCTCCCTCTTTTGAGGTAACTCCTGTCAGGTGTAAAGGAAAAGTATCCCTTCAAGGAAGATGTTGTATGTCACCCAGGCAAATGGACAACCAGGGAGAGACCCAGGCCATATCTGATGGAATTGGCCATGCTGGAGGTGATTTATGGTGATTTATGCACATTCAACAGTTTTCTACCTTGCCCGGTGCCTCACAGGATCCTTCAGTTGTGGGGTTGCTGAGGGTCGACGTGCCAGTAGCTACCCAAATGATGCACCAGTGGCAATATGGCACCACCCAAGATTCCCTGATTCCCATATATATGCTGATTCGTCAACTGCAGAGCCAAGGACTGATCAGCAAAATTTGTTCACCTTTAATAATCCCATAGGGTCAGTGCAAACATGTAATGGAGATCTGAGACTAAGGGTGGAGTATTGTGTCTAGAATGAAGTCACACCAAATTCAATAGATCATCTATAGTCTTCTCTCATAGTCCTAGCTCTAAGAGCATTTAAACGATCACTTACAGCACCTGAATGCTGCTGTCTGATCCCTTCCTGGCATCATAAGGAGCCTGTACCTCCAGGCCAGAACACTCTCCTTGTACCCTTGGATGCAGGCCCCTAGGTCCCATGGACTGTTAAGGGTGTCATTTGCAAAGTAACCACGGATTTTATCCCCACCCACCACCTGTTGTACCCCTGCAGAGTCCTGCCTCAAGGCACAAAGGGCAGGGAGACCTTGCTGGTGAAAGCTGAGGCCCTGTGGAGACGACCGAGACACAACAGCCATTACAGCCAAGGGTCATGTAGAAAAGAAAGGAAAAAGAGAAGATTTAAAAGAGAACAGTATAGGTTTAGCTCTGCCTGTGACACATGACTCCTTTTGCTCTGCTGACAGCCTCTGAATAGCTCCTGCCTGTCCTCCATCTCCACTAAGGAGCTATTGTGGCTCAGTAATTCACATGAAAGTGCCTATGTTGTGGACACCTGAACTGAGGCCTGAGGAATCCCAGCTCCTGTGGGTCTGTGGCAGATATGGGAAGGAGCTGAGATCCCTTTCCAGCCCCAGGAAGAACAACCAGAATGAGATGCCTTGACTGCCTGCTGAATTCTTTCCTTCAGTGGGGATGAAGGAGATCAGTCCCTGACCATGACTTGATGCCAAAGTAATACTGGGACAAGAAGATGTGATTGGTTTTCTTAATTGGTTTTCTGTTTCTCTTAATTGTTTTTTTTGGACTTAATTGGTTTTCTGTAAGGAGAAATGACCCTGGTGTGAAGAAGTGTGTGTGCCATGTGAGGAAGGGAACACAAGGGATCCCTTCAGGCTGTTTGCCAGCAGGTTCCCCTGCAGCCCCAGGGCCATGTGCAGGAAGCCTGGTGGGGGGCAGAGCAAGGGAGGCCTTGGGCTGGGCCTCTGCTGCTGAGCTGGGCCGGGCTCCTGGGCCCAAGGGGAGCTCCTGGCAAGCGGACAGCGCTGCACAGAGACAGCTCTGCCCAGGAGCAGCTCCTCTGCACAGCGCAGCAGGGCTGGGGGCAGTGCCTGCAGCTGGCACTGGGAGGACAGAGAAGGGAGAGTTGTTAAAGACTGTGTGGAGTGTTAGAAATCTGAGAGTATATGGAAAAGCAATGCTTACAACCCTTAACACGGTAAGTCTGAGTGCATTGCAATGCACTGGAGTATCCTGGATGTGCCCTAGACCTGGATTGTTCCAGAGCAGATGAGGCTGTAGGCAGAGCGTGTTTATTTCTTGTAGAGAAGGACATGCTCCAGCACAGGGGTTCCCTGCCACAGGGTCATTGTCCAGGCCCCAAGGCCTCCCTTGTCGCAGGCCAGCTGTAGGCTGTGAAGCTGGGGGTGCAGGCAGGGGTGTCAAGGGCTGTGGTGCAGAGCAGGGTCCCTGCTGTGCCCCAGGGGCTGTGTGCCGGGGCAGGGCCTCTGCCGCCTGCCAGGTTCAGCACTCAGCCTGCCCGGGGAGCTGCCCAGGGCGCTGCGGGGAGAAGCTGTGGGGTGGAAGGAGCCCCCCCGGCAGGGCAGGGTCCTGCTGCTGGCAGGAGGCTGCTCCCTTCGGCATGCTGCTTACAGATCCACAGCACACCAAGGAGACTTCCAAGAGGGTGTTACTAAGAATACAGGCAAGGGATGACAGCTTTCAGATGAGGACCCTCTAAAGTCAGTGGTTTTTGTTGCCTCCGAAGGGAAAATGAACTGGCACTGTCAGGTGTAAATACAGCACTAAGATCCTCATCAGGAGAAATCAGTACATCTGCCAGGTACCTCATAATGGTCTATTACGCACTGCGCTGCCTAAAGACCACACCAGCATCACCTTTGCTGGACACATCTGGGTTTGTCTGAGCTGCTCTTGTGCACCTGCAAGCAGGAAGATGCTTTTGTTCACTGCCTTGCTGCCAAGGGGTGTATGCAGGGCAAAGCTGTGTGAACAGGGGATGGACTGGGGTCTGTGAGTGATGACAAGAAGGAGACGTGGGAAGCAGCTACTGGAAGGGACAGCTGCGGGCAGCAGAGACACTGGCAGAGAAGGTGAGGGATCTTGCGACAGAAATGCTTCGGTGGGTGGGCTGTGGCTGCTCCCTGTCTGTCCCTCCCATGTGGATGCTGTCCTCTGAGTAAGCCCCCTCATTCTCCTCTCCCCCCAGCTTTCTCCATTTGTGTGCACTGCTCCTGTTCTCGTTGTGGCACTTTCTGGCAATAACAGTGCTGATGGGGGATGTTAAGCTCCTGTTCTGGCACTGCCCCTGCCCTGGAAGTGTTTTCCTTGGACACAGGTGCCCAAGTCCCCTTTGAAATTTTCAAGTTCCGTGCAATGCAATCCTTTCAGTTTGGGCAATGAGGTCATTCTCCTGAGCAGATGTCAGCTTGAGGTTATCCCTTGGAAAGCTACAACAGGCCCCAAGAAGGTCACTGCTTCTTTGTGCCCTTTTGCATTTCTCAGAGCTCTTATTTCAGCCACATGAATCAAGAACCCTGTCCTGTCCCTCTCCACCTTCTCCCCATAGCTGGGCAGGGAAAGAGAGGAGTTGTGCATTCACACTCAGCACAGTCCAGGCTCTTTTTCAGAGCAACCTGTGGGGGCAGTCACCCTCCAGCTGAGCATTTTGCCTCCAAGCACTGGCTTGTGTTGACACTGAGAACAACGGAAAAAGATTTTTACCATTTCCCAGAAGCTAAAGGGGAATCTAAATCCTAAAAAGGTACAGAAGAAGACACTTCTGTCGCACCTTGTCTTCTGGAAAGCAGAGTGTGAAGATTTACTTTTATCTAAGGCAGAAAGGGTACTTCCAAGTATTTAAAATTCCATTACCCATACAGTACCTGGATAAAGGGTGTAATAAAGAGAAACTGATTTGAAGACAGAGTCTACCTTATCAAAACAAAGAGGTATGCAGATGAGTGGGCCAGTTGTGCCTTCGTGAGTTTGTTTCTGATTCTGATATCACCTGTGAAGAAGGGTAAAGAGGATGCGATGAATCTATCTTTCTTCCCTTACACAGGCTGATGGCCAATATGCCATCATCTCTCATGGTGGTAAATAGGGAAAACCCTCAGTGGACCAAATGCCACTCATGCAATGCAGGGACCCAACCACTGAAAATATCTCCTTTCACATAGAGGGGATTATTAGAAAGCTCCATAAGTCCAGTGTGAGCAGGAATGTGTCTTCTAAAGTCTGTCTTAATATCTCCTTGTCTTTTCTTCCTTGGGTGATCCCGTTTATTCAGGAGGATCAGATGTCCAACAGCAGCTCCATCACCGAGTTCCTCCTCCTGCCATTCGGAGACACGCGGGAGCTGCAGCTCCTGCACTTCGCGCTCTTCCTGGGCATCTACCTGGCTGCCCTCCTGGGCAACGGCCTCATCCTCACCGCTGTAGCCTGCGACCACCGTCTTCACACCCCCATGTACTTCTTCCTCCTCAACCTCGCCCTCCTCGACCTGGGCTGCATCTCCACCACTCTGCCCAAAGCCATGGCCAATTCCCTCTGGGACAGTAGGGCCATCTCCCACGCAGGATGTGCTGCACAGGTCTTTTTCTTCTTCTTTTTCTTTTCAGCAGAGTATTCTCTTCTCACCATCATGTCCTATGACCGCTACGTTGCCATCTGCAAGCCCTTGCACTACGGAAGCCTCCTGGGCAGCAGAGCTTGTGCCCAGATGGCAGCAGCTGCCTGGGGCAGTGGGGTTCTCAATGCTCTGCTACACACTGCCAGTACATTTTCACTGCCCCTCTGCAGAGGAAATACTCTGGACCAGTTCTTCTGTGAAATTCCCCAGATCCTGAAGATCTGTTGCTCCGAGTCCTACCTAAGGGAAATCGGGCTCCTCATGTTTAGCGTTTTTGTTTTTTTTGTGTGTTTTGTATTCATCATGTTGTCCTATGTACAGATCTTCAGGGCCGTGCAGAGGATGCCCTCTAAGCAGGGGCAGCACAAAGCCTTTTCCACGTGCCTCCCTCACCTGGCTGTGGTCTCTCTGGTTATTAGCACTGGCATGTTTGCCTACCTGAAGCCCCCCTCCACCACCTTCCCATCCCTGGATCTGCTGGTGGCAGTTCTGTATTCAGTGGTGCCCCCAGCAGTGAACCCCCTTATCTACAGCATGAGGAACCAGGAGCTCAAGGATACTCTTAGGAAAGTGATTTCAAGGATATTTCTGAATAGTGATAAATTTCCCTTTGTTTTCCACAAATGACTTCCATTGCAGACCTGCTCTGTGGTTCATTTTCCGTACTGTTGTGTTCATTTTCAATATCAATTGCATATATCATGTTATTAAAAATACGGCTTATACTCATTGCTGCTCTCCATTCACGCTTTCCTTATAGTAAAGTTCCTCCAGACCTTTGTTCGTCTTTGTTGCCCTCCTCTGGACTCCTTCTAATATGTCCATGCCCTTTTTGTGTTTTGGGGCCTGGAGCTGAGTGCAGTACCCCAGGTGGGGTCTCAAAAAAGCAGAGTGGAGGAAGAGAGTCACCTCCCTTGCCCTGCTAGGCACACTTCCTGCAGCCCAGGATACAGTTGGCTTTCTGGGCTGAATGTTCCCTAGGCATTCCAGGTATGTGCCACAGGTGCTGACCCCATTGAGGGGCATCAGCAGCAGGGATCCCAACCCAGCTGGGTCTGCTTCCCTGCCTGTGCAGCACAGCCAGTGTGCAGTCACCTCTTGGGCACCACAGCCTGCTTGGTCTGCTCATGGCACCAGCAGCTCAGGGCCCTGTGGGGAACATGAGGAGGTGGCCAGGAAGAGCTGGAGAGTTGAGAGGAGGGATGGGGAGAGATCAGACGGGAGCTGAGCTTGGCTGGAAGGTGCCTCAAATACTGGTGCTCACCTAATCCAAGACAAGGTCAGACTGTGGGTACCCTAACTTGTACTCCTCATGCAGAGCCATATATCCATGGTTTCCTGGTGCATCACCTGGCCTGGGCAGTGGCTGAAGAAAGTAAAGTGCCCCCTGTTGTTCCTGAAGCCTGGCATCAAAAGCAAGGCTGTGACCCTGTGTCAGGATAACATTGTGGTGGTTCTCACCTGCTACACAGTTGAACTCTACCACCACCCCTCTCACTCCCCCTCCTGAAAGGAAAAGGAGGAGAAAATATGATGAAAAAGGCTCAAGGTTGAGACAAGAACATGGAGATCACCCACCAGTTACTGTCACAGGCAAAACAGACCCAGCATAGGGAGACCAATAGAATTTATTGCCTATCACCAGTAGAGTAGAACAGTGAGAAACTAAAAGCAAAATAAAACTGCCTTCCCCCATCCACCCTCTTTTACCTCCTCCTCCCCAAGTGGTGCAGGGGAATGGGGAATGTGGGCTGCGGTCAGTCCATAACGCTTCATCTTCACTGCTCCTTCATGGGCACTCTTTGCCCCTGCTCTGGCTCTCCCCCCTCTCTCCCAGCTGCTGATGGGGAAAGAAAGGGAAAGATTTTTTTCACCTTAAATCTGCTCTCACAGAGGCAGAAACAACATCACTCATTGGCTTGGCTCTGGTCAGCGGCAGGTCCCCTTTGGAGCCATCTGGAACTGGCTCTGATCTGACATGGGGCAGCTTCCTGACTCTTCTCACAGAGCATGTTGTCCCCCTGCTACTAAACCCTTGCCGTGTAAGTCCAGTACACAGTAATGAATGCTTGACCCATGTCAGATTGCTAATGTTCCTGAATCCATGTCCAGCACATGTTTGTGAGACAGTCTCCCCCAAACTGTGTGCTGAACCTGAGGCCAAAACTCCTCAGCAAGTCCTTAGCTTGTGTCCACCTGGAGGACTGGAGTGAAGCCATAACCGTGGGAAGGATGAGCCCTCTCTTTGGACTGCTGCATGGGTGGAAGCCTCTGCATGTTCCACATGATCTGGGAGATTATAGAAGAGATCCTGATGCCCTGTTCACCATCTCCATGTCCTTGGGGCCCTCAAAAATGTCCCTCAGTCTTAAGATACAGCCTAGCATCTTCTTACATCAGGAACCTGGAGAATTGCCCTAGAAGTCTCAACACTCTGGTGCAAACAGGCAAATACACACAAATATGCATGCTCAAACATACAAACCCACAATCTCATCCACACACACACATATGCACACAAGGCATGGACACAACCAACCAGACACAGACCAACTCCAACAAGGAACAGCACCTTCACAGCCACCACACCACCACCAGCACACACACAGCCATGAGCAACACACCTGACCCCATCCCGTTCCGCACCTGAGACTGCTCTGCTGTGAAGGTCACCAGTGCTCCATGCATCCTCTGCAGCACTAAACATGTACAAGTCTATGGGGCCTGATGACTTGCATCCTAGAGTCCAGAGGGAACTGGCTGACATAGTTGCCAAGCCTCTCTTCATCATCTTTGGAAAGTCCTGGCAGCTGGGTGAAGTCCCTAGTGACTGGAAAAAGGAAAACATCACTCCCATTTTTAAAAAGGGTAGAAAGGAGGACCCAGGGAACTACAGAATGGTGAGCCTCACCTCTGTGCCTGGCAAGATCATGGAAAAGATCATCCTGGAATCAGTGTCAAGGCATATGCAAGACAAAGAGGTGATCAAAGACAGCCAGCATGGCTTCACCAAAGGGTAGATCATGCCTGATGAATATGGTGGCTTTCTACAATGGAGTGACCACATCAGATGACCAGGGAAGACCGACTGATGTCATCTACTTGGAATTCTGTAAGACCTTTGACACGGTCCCATATGACATTCTGGTCTCCAGAATGGAGAGATATGCATTTGATGGAACATTCAGTGGATAAGGAGTTGGCTTGAAGGTCACATCCAGTTAGTGGTGGTCAACGGTTCTATGTCCAAGTGGAGCTGAAGACAAGTGGTGTACCTCAGAGGTCTGTCCTTGGACCAGTATTGTTTAATATCTTTATCAGTGTCATAGACAGTGGGATCGAGTGCACCCTCAGCAAGTGTGCAGATAACACCAAGCTGAGTGGTGTGGTTGATGCAACAGATGAAGGGATGCCACATGAGGTTCAAGTGCAAGGTGCTGCATCTAGGCCATGGAAATCCCAGGCAGGAGGATAGGCGGGGAGAAGAACTCATTGAGAGCAGCCCTGCAGAGAAGGACTTGAGACTTCTGCTGGACAAAAAGCTCGACTTGATCCAGAAATGTGCACTTGTAGCCCAGGAAGCCAACTGTATCCTGGGCTGCATCAAAAGAAGAATGCCAGCAGGAGGAGGTAGATGATTGTCACCCTCTCCCCTGTCCTCCTGAGGCCCTGCTTGGAGTCCTGCGTCCAGGTGTGGGGCCCCCAGCACAAGAAGGATGTGGATCTGTTAGAACAGGTCCAGAGGAGGGCCACAAAGATGATCAAGGGGCTGGAGCACCTCTCCTATGAAGAAAGGCTGAGAGTGCTGGGGCTGTTTAGCCTGAAGAATAAAAGGCTTCTGGGTGACCTCATCATAGTCTTTCAGGACTTAAAGGGGGCTTATGAAAAAGGTAGACCGTGACTCTTTGTTCAATCAGATAATGATAGAATGAGGGGGAATGGTTTTAAGCTAAATGAGGGCAGATTTAGAGTAGAGGTTAGGAGGGAATTCTTCACTCAAAGGCAGGTGAGGCACTGGAACAAGTTGCCAAGAGACCTTATAGATGTCCCATTCCTGGAGATGTTCAAAAGCAGGTTGAGCAAGGCCCTGGGCAACCTGATCTCATGGGTGGCATCCCTGCTTATGGCCAGTGGGTTGGAACTAGATGATCTTTAAGATCCCTTTCAACATGAACCATTCTGTGATTCTATGGTCTCACAAACTATACCTCAAGCGCAACTCCCATCCCATCAGCCTTCTGGTGGTCTGTCACCTGACCAGAACAGAAGTTGCCTCGCCATCCTCTTCAATGCTATGTGCATGCTTCTGGCCTTTGCAGTCCCTATCTGTGCCATGTTCCTCCTGCTGGTCAGTCAGCTCCAGAGACAGAAGTGACCTCCCAGCCTCCTTCACAGCCATGTGCCTCCTGCAGGCCCAGCAGATCCTGAGGCACACCTGATCCCATCAGAGCATCCCAAGCCACATACTCCTTGTGGCCTTCGATCTGATCAGATACTTGTCACCCATGCCTCTTCCAATGCCATGCACTGCTCCAGGACCTCACACTCCCTGCCCTGCCCCAAGGGGACAAATGGCTTAAGTTAGGGATAGGAGTGGGGTTAAAGCTGGGATGTGCTGTGTGCATTCTGGAGGGCTTTGGGAGTTAGGTGTTCAGGTTAATATTTAGGAATAACAAATCACATTCCAGGGTTAAGAGAACAGCAAGGGCAGCAAATGAGAGATTGATGTTCTGCTCAAGGTGTCTGTTCAAGGTTTGGGATAAGGGTAAGATCTGATGCTTTTAGTTTAGGTCTGTGTTGAGGGCGCTAAGGCTGGCATTTCACTCCTTGGTTAGGCTTAATCATCTTTCTGCTTGCCCTTCTAGAAGAAGATGGGTTTGGTGTCTGCTTTTTCCAAGTCCCAAGGAACGTCTCTGATCAAAATGCCCTTTCCAAGGTCTTTGAGATAAATCTTATGATGATATCTGCAGCTTCACCAACACCCCTTTCACCATTCCCATGCTTCTTCTAAGCAACCTGAGGGCTGACCAGGCGGATGATGAGGGCTTGGGAAAGGGTTTGATTGAGATCTGTGAGGAGGACTGTTCTGCACTTCACATGGACAGTGATGATAATGTCATAGGAAACAGTGACACTCCTGAGGACAGAAGAGCACATGGATAAGGCCTTGGGCTTGCCAACACAGGATGAACACACATGAACACTACATGAGAGGGAAGAGGAAGACTCAATCCAAAATAGAGATTCTGAAAGCAAAGACCATGAGTATCACCATGTCATTGCAGGAGAGCTCCAGCAATGGGGCAAAATCATAGAAGGGGTCCACCACAGTGGGGCCACAGAACTGCAGCTGGGAAGAGGAGAAATGATTCCTGTACATGAGAGAAATTCCCCTGATTTACTAACAGCTGCCTTCTGGAGTCAGACCTACTTCACAACTCTTCAGGGAACAGAGATGGCATACAGCCCAGGACTGACCATAGGACATGGCCCCCAGCAGGAAGCACTCACTTCATGCAGAAGGTGCAGCTGATAGCGCTACCACCTCTGTGATCAAAAGAGGTGCTGTCTCCAGCCAGGAAGCTGGCCAGCATCTGGCACAGGGTGGTGGAGCTGTACAAGGTCTGCAAGGAGGACAAAT